AAAAAAAAAAAAAAAAAAAAAAAAAAACTCATTTATAAACATCTTATGTTATATTTTACATATTTATTTCTCAAACTCCAAGTAATATTAATTTATGATCAAATTTGGTTTAAAATGTAAAAGTCATTTTCATACATAAAACATAAGACATAATAATATAAAATTAAACATCATAAGCATGCATCTAAAGTGTATAAATCAAGCCATATATTGGTAGTAGCTTTTATGAGACAACACAAAAATTATTAAATAAATCCTAAAAGACTTAAAGAATCCTTCAAAAGATCTTCAAACTCCCACTTACCAAGACAACTCTTGCTTGCAAAAAGAACTTCAAAGCATCACATGTGTTGTAGAGGTCATTACTGTGTTGTAGAGGTCATTACAGTTAAACTATTAAACCCAAAAACAAGAGTAGAAGGTCAAGGTTGGAATTATAGTTGCATGTGGTTAAAACATAGCAAATCTTCAAGATGATCATTTTTTCAACTTGCTACATTTGGTAAAGAAATAATACAGCTAATCTAACTAATTTCTTACATGCAAAATAAAATAATAATAAAAAAATACATATTCATCTATCACATCTCATTAATAAATAAATATCAACCAAATGCAACATATTGATCATAATGGCTTGTTTATACACAACAATATCAAATGACATATAAAAACAAATACTTTGTTTTTCTAAGGCAACTTTATACAACCAAATGCATGAAAAAATTGGTTGTATAAAAATAACAATATAAAAACAAGAAGGTGTCAAAGAAAATATATTTGGTGATTTATTTTCCAAAAGAAAAATCAAACTTACTTTCCAAAACCAATGGTTATAAAACATTGAAATAAATCTTTCTAGCATGTAAAAGAAGCTCTGATACCACTAATGGGTTTTGGAAAGCTAAAAACAATCCTTTTTATAAAACAATTTTGTACAGCAAACGAAAGACTTTAAAATAACTAATTTATTTTTAAACCATTTAACAAAACCACCATGAGGATCCAATTACATGAACTATAAAGATTATGATAACCATAGGATGTTAAGAAAACAAAATTTGAAGACTTTGATCCCATTTGGTTTTGGGAAGTTGATGAAGATGGCAAAAACTCAAGATGGAGTTCTCTATAACGTATCTACCAACAAGAGTAAAGCATCATGGAATGATAGTTCCCTTCTTGTATAAAGTACTCATTAAGCCTTTATGTGCTTAACACAATTAAGCACTAAAGGAAAAGTACTTCTTAGCACCAAATCTTCACTAGCTTCAAAAGACAAGAATAACATGGAGAGAGGCCGAAAGTCATGACTTTCTTAGAGATAAAAGGGAAGAGATTTCAAGCAACCAAATAATCTAGTTATGATTTTCTTTTTATAGTAACATGCAAGTATCCAAAATCATACCCTTCATAAATGAAAGTATGTCTTAAAGGAAAATGTAAGAGGTTGCTTCACAAGCAATCTCTCTCTTTGAAAGGAAGCACATGGTTGTGACTAGCTCTTAGTGAAAGCATGGGTGTCATGCACTCTTTAATATATACAAGCATGTTCACCTTTTATTTATAAAAACTAGTTTTATATGAATGGACTTCAAAGGGTCCAAAAAGATTTACACTACATATAAATCATACATTATGAGTTACTAGTTGTTTTTTCTCTTAAAAATATTATTTCGGTAAATAATAATTTCCTAATTAAATACAAGAATTAAATATATTTATTAATAACCATGTTAATAATAAATGTTCAATATGTGCCAACATGTTGAAGGTGTGATCCTATAGGATCATATGTTATTGGAAAAATCATTCTAAAATGATTATTGAGCATATAGATCTAACAGAAACCTTTGTCAATTTTTATGGGCGATAGTTGGTTGTGGTGTTGTGGGTGGTGGTGGGTATTGGTGATAGGTGGGTGGTAGTGATGGTAAATGATGGTGGAGGTGACAAGTGGTGGTACGGATGGCAGTTATGGTGGTTGGTGGGCAGGTCAGTAATGGTGGTGTTAGCGGGTGGGTGATGGCAAGTGGCGGTGGTGGTAGTAGGTGGTAGGTGGTAATTATGGTAGGTGTAGATGATGTTGATTGGTGGTGGTGAATGGGTATTGGTTGGTTGGTGGTAGAGATGGTAGTTGTGGGTGGTGGTGATGGTGGTAGGTGGTGAGTGAGGTGATGGTGATGGGTGGTGGTTGAGGCGAATGGTGGTAGTGGTGGGTGTGGATGGCGAGAGGTGGTGGCGATGGGTGGTAGTGATGAGTGGTGGTTCTGGTGGGTGATGGGTGTGGTGGTGGTGATGGGTGTTAAAGGTGGGTAATAGTGATGTATGGTGGTGGTGGGTAGTGAAGATGAGTGGTGGTTTGTGGTGGGGTGGTGGTAACAGGTGGAGGGTAGTAGTAGGTCGTGTGTAGTGGTAATGGGTGGTTGTTGATGTTGGATTAGGTGTCTAAACCCATAAATATAATTGGTATAAAGTTGAATTGATAGTAGCACGATCC